GGTAAAAGATGACTTGTTCTGTTACATGCTGCAGTGTGTCACCTACCCCTGAGCTGCTGGCATAACCGTGGCCCCCAGAAGAGATTTAGAGGAATAGCCTTGGCATACAGTGTTGGTAAACTTCTTTGCCTGGGTCTTTCTCTGGGTCTCCTCCCAATGGGATGTGCTCGGAACACCTCACCAGGGAGGTGTCCAGGAGGCATCCTAACCAGATGCCTGAGCCACCTCAACTGGCTCCTCTCGACGTGGAGTAGCATCAGCTCCCAAGATCCTGAAACTCCTCCACTGGAGCAGGACCTCCTCCCCAACCCGAAGAAGGCACCCTAGCCTTTTCCAGCTCAAGACCACGGTCTTGGATGTGGAGGCACTGATCCTCCTCCCGGCCGCTTTGCACTCGGCTGTGAACTGCTCCAGTGAGAGCTGGAGATCACGATCTGATGAAGCCAATAGGACCACATCATTCACAAAAAGCAGAGATGTGATCCTAAAGTCACCAAAACGGATCCTCTCAACACCTCAGTTGCGCCTAGAAATTCTGTCCATAAAAGTTATGAACAGAATTGGTGACAAAGGGCAACCTTGGCGGAGTCCAACTCTCACTGGAAACGAGTCCAACTTACTACCAGCAATGCGGACCAAACTCTGACACCGGTCACACAGGGACCTAACAGCCCGTATCAACAGGCCTGGTACCCCATACTCCTGGAGTACCCCCCACAGAAGTCCTCAAGGGACACAGCCGAAGTCCTTCTTCAAGTTCCCAAAACACATGTAGACTGGTTGGACGAAATCCCACGCACCCTCTGCTGAGGGTGTAGAGATGGTCCGCTGTTCCATGACCAGGATGAAAACCACACTGCTCTTCCTGATTCCGAGATTCGACTATCTGATGGACCCTCCTCTCCAGAACCCCCGAATAGTCCTTACCAGGGAGGCTCAGAAGTGTGATCCCCCTATAGTTGGAACAAACTCTGCGGCCCCCCTTTTTAAATAGGGGGACCACCACCCCAGTCTACCAATCCAGGGGAACTGCCCCCGATGTCCATGTGATATTGTAGAGTCGCATCAACCAACGCAACCCCACAACATCAAGAGCCTCTCATCCACCAAAAGGTGCCTCGCCACCAAGGAGCTTTTTAACCACCTCAGTGATGTCAGCACCAGAGATTGGAGAGTCCAACCCAGGATCCCCAGGCTCTGCTTCCTCATAGGAAGACGTGTCGGTGGTATTGAGGAGATCTTTGAAGTATTCTGCCCACTGACCCACAACGTCCTGAGTTGAGRTCAGCAACGCACCATCCCCACCATAAACAGTGTTGGTGGYGAACTGCTTTCTTCCCGAGACGCCGGATGGTRGACCAGAATCGCCTTGAAGCCATATGGAAGTCTTTTCCCATGGCCTTTCCGAACTCCTCCCACGTCAGAGTTTTTGCCTTGGCGACCACCCRAGCTGCAATCCGCTTGGACTGCCGATACCTATCGGCTGCTTCCGGAGTCCCACAGGCCAAAAAGACCTGATAGGAATCCTTCTTCAGCCTGACAGCATCCCTCACCACTGATGTCCACCAGCGGGTTTGAGGTTTGCCGCTATGACAGGCAGCGACAACCTTACAGCCACAGCTCAGGTAAGCCACCTCGACAATGGAGGTACAGAACATGGCCCACTTGGACTCTGTCCCCCACCTCCCCCGGAACATGTTCAAAATTTTCCCAGAGGTGTGAGTTGAAGCTCCATCTGATGAGAGACTCTGCCAGACATTCCCAGCTGACCCTCACTAAAGGTTTGGGTCTGCCAGGTCTGCCCCGTATCCTCCCCACGATCAGAGCCAACTCACCACCAGGTAGTGGTCAGTTGACAGCTCCGCCCCTCTCTTCACCTGAGTGTCCAAAACATGCAGCCACAGATCAGATGAAATGAGAACAAAGTCGATCATCGAACTGCGGCCTAGGGTGTCCTGGTGCCAAGAGCACATATCGACACCCTTATGTTTGAACATGGTGTTTGTTATGGAAAATCCATGAGGAGCACAGAAGTCCAATAACAAAACACTACTCGGGTTCAGATCGGGGGGTGTTCATGTGAGCGTTGATGTCCCCCAGCAAGACGAGGGAGTCCCCATCAGGAGCACTCTCCAGCACCCCCTCCAAGGACTCCAAACAGGGTGGTTAATCTGGACTGCTGTTAGGCGCATAGGCACAAACAACAGTCAGGACCTGTCCCCCCCACATGTGGGCAGAGGGTGGCTACCCTCTTGTTCACGGGGGTAAACCCCAACATACGGGCACCAAGATGGGGGGCAGTAAGTGGAACAATGTCCAACCCCTCTCGAGGAGACTGGTTCCAGAGCCAGAGTGGTGTATCGAGGTAATTCCGACTATATGTAGTCAGAACCTCTCAACCTCACACACCAGCTCAGGCTCCTTCACCAGAGAGGTGTCATTTCATGTTCTTAGAACCAGCTTCTGTGGCCGAGGATGGGACTGCCAGGGTCCTTGCCTTCAACCATTGCACATTGCACATGACCCTTTTGGCCCCTCCCACWGGTGGTGAGCTCATGGGAAGAGGGACCCACATCTCTTCAGGCTGTGCCCTGCCAGGCTTCATGGGTGAAAGTCCAGCCACCAGGTGCTCGCCAATGTGCCCCACCTCCAGGCCTCCAGAGTTGGGTCCCGGTGACCCGCATCCAGGCGAGGGAACACTTAGTCCATTCGTGGCACTCATCATAGGGGTCTTTGTGCTGCACCTTGTCTGATACCTCACCTAGGACCTGTTTGCCTTGGGTGACCCTACCGGTGGCATAATGCCCCGGACAACATAGCTCCTTGGATCATTGGGACACTCAACCTTCTCCACCACAATAAGGTGGCAGCCCAGGGAGAGACCAGCAGATTTCCATTATACAAATACAGACATTGATACCAAAAMCTCTTAGCAAACAATACAAAAGTATTTCTTTATTAGACAGAAAAAAACCTCCGTACATCAGAAGAATTCATCAGGCTCATTAGTTCAGATTCATTTATTTTACTTGTAATGAAGATAGCCTTGGTTTATGTTACAGAGGGACTCACAGTTACAAAAGTAAAAAGCTCGTTGGAGCTGAAACAAAAATATATCGAATTCTCCTACGGTAGTGAGTTATTTTTCTCTTGAGGTTCTGCTCCTCGTGCCATTTACCTGTTGTGTTGTCACACAAGACTAAGCTCTTTCTTTACTCGTTGAAATCTACACCTGCTCTCCAGAAACCTGCAGGTCTTTKGGGTAAAGCCACTTCTCGTTGAGGAATTATAGAAACATCAGTTCTTTGTTCCGATGGTGTCCAAYCTCCAGCATGCTCAGAACTTTTTGTTGTTCGGATTAATGACGAATAAAAGCTTTTCTTCTTCAAAGAATAGTGTAAGCAGCTGAACTAAACCCACTTTGGTTACACGCATGAATAATTTATTTGTCACCCACCCACTTCCGWTGACAGAAATGCAAACTACTTCCTCTCCTTGTTTTGAAATATTTAGCAACTAATTGTTTTTGCGACAAACTTTTACCCTGTTTTTCAGACACTTTAAGTCAAAGTGAATTATTTTGACATTGTTTAGACAAAAACACAAGATTTATTTGTACTTTTGCTCCACTTTCACTAATTTTAGTCTTAATTTTTTAAGTTTTAGTCAAAGTCCCCTCACACAGATCTGACAAAAAGCTTTCCTTTGAAAATGCTTGGGTACTGAACTGAAAATGTATGGAAAAATGTCAATCAAGACAACTTTAAAGCATTATAAAAAGCTTACTTGAAGGGGAATATTGAAAATAATGACTGAAGAATTTTACACAACACCTTGTCTATAAGATATACTGAAGCAGTTTGTGAGGACTGTCACCTTTCTCCTCCTCCGCTCTTCTTACCCGTTGGCAACGTGGGTAAAGCTAGTGGACTGATAATCCTCTTAAGATACTCATTGCTCATTTGTCAGAGTCCAAATAAAGTACGACCTTGTGGATTTAATCGGGAAGCCCTAATTTGCTTCGTGGCCTCCTGCTGGGATGGAGAAAATCTGGGACAAAAAAAAGAATGCGAGCACTGGACCGAGTTTTCTTGCTGGAGGTGGAGCTAAGACTCTTGGGAAACAACTTTCAAAAATAGTGACACTGACTAAAGTGTTTTCCTCCTACAACCTTCAGACACAGGCACACATGCACTTTCTAAGTAAAGCTGAAAACAGGATTTACAGAAAACAAACATAAAAAACTAAAATAACTTTGTGGATGGCATTTGTTGATGCTATATGGTGGTTTTTACCATTGTTGCTGACACACTTTTGGTTCTTGAAACATACACAATTGGTTGACGACCTGTAAATAAATACAAGTTGTATTAAAATCTGTATTAAAATTTTATTTTATAGTATTTTCAAAATGGATGAAGTTTGTTTAAGAAAAACATACTAATG